AATAAATAAGAATAAATTATAGTCAGGGATTTTTTTTTTCCAAAACGATAGAACGGCTATTATAAAACTCAAACGGACAGCGTCCGACTACAATATTCATTACAATAAGGGAATCGAAAAAAGAGAAATGAGAGACATACCCAAAGGTAGTCTAGAACCTCCACGAGAGGAAACATACCAAACTAGAGAGAGAAGGAAGCTGAAACCCTCTACTGCAACATGTCTAAAAGGGAAACAGAAACCTAAACAGAGGACTAAAAGATCAACAAAACCTAAAGAAAAGCATTAAACAGAAGAAAATTGCAATCAGTCCAAATGAGCAAACTTCAACAGCTTAGTTTCCGGGATGAGTGTGTTTTGAAATATCCAAAGATTTCTGGATTTCCAAAGCCACCAGAGGATATATGTTGATAATTGAATTTTGTCCTCTGCAACTTCTGAAAATCCAATGGAGCAGATTTTGAACCACCAAGCCCTGAAAGAGTCCTTCTCATGCTGCAGCCCATCCCATCTCACAGGAGAGATATCCCAATCTTTGGATGCTCTGTGATAGGAAAGAAGGATGTATTCAGTGGTTTCTGGACCTTCACCACAAATGGAACAAATGTGGTCAATGTCTATTTTCCTTCTTCTGAGAGAAACATCAGTGGGTAAGGTTCCATTGATGCACTTCCAAATAAAGTGTTTCAGCTTCCCTGCCACTTTCAGCTTCCAGAGTCTGCCTTGAATAGATTTGTTTATAAGCAAGGGGGAACTGCATTCAGGTAAATCTAGCTGCTGTAGTTTAAGCTTGGAGAATGATGTATAGGCACTAGAAACTGAAAACTGGCCTTTTTTATCAAGACCCCAAAAGAGTCTGTCCATTCTGTCAGGGTGCAAGGAAGATATGCTTAAGATTGCTTCACTGTCTGCAGAATCAAAAACTTGTCTAATTAACCATTCATTCCAACTGAGACCATCTGAGAAAATGAGGTCTTTCACCCAAATAAGGTGGTCTCTTGCAATAGGAATAAGAGAAGGAGATGGCTTCTGTAAGTATGGTACCCAATTATTGTCTGAGATTTTAGTGAGCATACCATTTCTGGTTTCAGTTCTGAGCCATTTTGAGAAGAAAGGCATTACTTCAAGCCAACAATTCGACATTCAAGATCCTTTCTGAGTTTTGATTGCCTGAGTAATGGAAGTTGTGGGGAAGTATCTGTCTTTAAGAATCTTACTGACCAAGAGATCTGGATTAGTGGCTACTCTCCAAAGCTGCTTGCATAAGAGAGCTTTGTTGAATAATTGCAGATCTAAAAAACCAAATCCCCCATCTTTTTTAGGTCCACTTCTTCCAGTGTATACCTCTCGACTGTTGATCTTCATTGCTCCACCAGAATTGAGCACACAGTCTAGAGATTTCAGAGCAAATATTTTGGGGAAGTTTAAAGCAAGACATTGAAAAAATTGTTGGAGTAGTATACCCGGCGTTCCAATCAGATTGGACATATTCTACTTGTAAATACAATCTATTGGAATTATATTAAATAATAAGGCATTACTTTATTTTAAGAGTAAGCATTTATCATATATTTGCACTTAAGATAAAATCCTTATATCACTTATAGCTGTAAGATATGGTTGCGCATAGAGATGGTGATCATGGAACATATCTTGAAAGTTGTGATCTTAAATACAGTTCCAAGTCGTTGGATGTTTCGAGATGGGATATCGAATAAATCCGGAAAAGACTTGCACATAGTATGTATGCTTATTAGATAAGAATGTTGCATTCCATCAACATTAGCGTGTGACGCAAATACATATATGTGGGTGCTTGTTAGAGAACAAGTTCACTGAACATGACCGTATGAAAATTCTTAATGAATGTTTATCATGTCGAATAAGAATTTTCATGTTACAATAGTACATGATTAATCCTTAGACTTGAGGCACGATGGTAATTTTGTGCATATTATATTTTACTTTGATTTATTCTTTTGATTGCTAGCACAATCTTATAAAGGGATATTTTGGGTTTAATATGTATGGAAGTTTGTTAGTGGCCAACAAAGGATTCGACACTTATGAAGATAAGTGAATTTTCTATGTGTTTCATAGTTAGTCATTCAAAGTCCTTGGCCAAGGCGGGATGAATAGAGATTCATAAACGAATTACTAAACTTGAAATGGAATCATAGTTATTAAATCAATTTGGGTTTCGACAAAATCATACCCAAAGCTCTAATCAGGAAATTGGATGTCGAAAGGATTTTACATGTATGGACTTGTAATCGAAATAGGTTTACTCGCTATTCACTTAATACTAGATTCATGCTACTTGCTAGATGTTACCATGATATGCGGGTTCTTGAATTAAAGAGTTAATTCAAGAATAAGAGTTAATATGAATAACTCAAATTACAAAGAGTTGTAAACCCACTACTAGTATTAATTGTGAACCTAAAAGGTCACACCAATTTTTGAATGAAGGTAAAATTCAAATAGTAATTGTAAAGAGTTAGAATTAATTGACAAATCTAATTTGATTAGATGTCAATTAAAGGAATATATTAAATTAATCAATTAGATTGATTAATTGAATTTTGGATATTAATTTAGTAATTAATGGAATTACTAATTAATAGTTGGAATTTAAAATTGGATTTTAAATTTCAAATCCAAATAATAATATGATTATTAAATAAGGAAATTGGAAGAAAAGATTAAAATAATAAAGTCTTGAAAAATATTTTCAAGAATTATTATTTATTATTTTATCTTTAATATGATTAAAGATTCAAATAATTGAGAGACAAAATAATGGTGGTTGATGGTGGTTATAAACCACTCCACATTATTAATTAAAAGTCAATATTTGGTATGATAATTTAAATAAAATCTGATTTTATTGTGTTTGTGGATGGAATCCCCCAAGAAGGGTTAGAATGGCAGTGCCTGCCCCTTGGAAATATCACCGGTCTCTACCCAAGATCCCAACATCACAATTCCGTTTTTGTTGAAATTGCGAAGTAAGTGGGCTTCTAAATCTGGTATTTATAAAATCTGATTTTATTTAAAAATAAATAATTATCAAATATTGATTATTTTATGCTAAAATGTTTAGTATAAATAGGTGCAAAATGTTTGCACATAAATTGCTAAGTTTTTCTAAGTTCTTCCAAAGAGAAAAATCATCCAAATAGTTGAGTGATAAAACAAGAAAGAGTTCTTGTAAAATTTTCTTATATATATATATATATATTCTATACTTATTGAAAAACCGAGTAGTTTCTACTAGCGAAGAAACTATAGTCGGAACCGGAGTTCAAAAGGTCGATACTCTTAGAGGGAAGACATTTGAATTCCTAAAGCGAGTAACATCAAGAAGTGGACGTTACCAAACCGGGAATTGATTTCCTCATCCATCGTCGTTTTTGAAGGAGTTCAAGAACAAAGGTAATTTTATAAATTACATATCAAATCAAAATTAGTAAAAGTTACTAGATTTTAAATGATGCTTATTTGTTATCTCGTTATACTTATGTACGGAATAAGTATTTATGAAATAAATACTTATAAAATTTTAAATTCCGCTGCAAACTCTGTTCCGTACAGTATATCGAACCCAACAGTGGTATCAGAGCCACGTTACGATTAGTATCTTTAAAAATAGACTTTGATTTGTTTAAGTTTATATGATAATTAAATGTTTATATGATAAAAATATTAATTATCAAAATAAATAAATAAAAAATTCAATTTTTTAGCCACACGGGTCGTGTAAGGTGTCACACGGGTCGTGTGGCTCCACACGAGCCGTGTCCTTGAGCCACACGGGTCGTGTGACTTAAGGAAAAATTTGATTTTTTCTTA